AGTGCATCAGAGTAGACATGGAACGTTTGGGCGATTGCCTACCACGAACTGGTCCACGTCTAAGGCCGGGCGTATTCGTCCCACACCGACCAGCAGGCCACTTCAAAAACTGCAGCAATCCAACGAAACCTGTTCCAGTCCCACGCATGGTTCGCAGGCACACACGCGTACATGGTCTCTTGGCGGCAAGACGACGGACCACAAAAAGTCGAGGATTGAGAATTCGTGGCGACAAGATTGGAGATGTTGTTCGCAACTTCGCGCTGGGAAGGTCGTGGTTGTTCTATCACCTGTTGCTACTGATCACTACTACTCCAGCTTCTAGAGTGCTGATCTGGGGCCATCTCAGGTGCCGAATCGTTACAGGCTGTTTCATGAGAACAGGGTGATTCGGTGGGAATGCATCCGGGCTTTCGTGTGAGCCGAAGATAGTTTTTGCGAGAGGTCCTCTGCTGAATCAATTCCCGCTGTTTTCACCACTTGGTGTTGACTGCCAGCTGCAGCATTGGTTTCTGGCATCAGGGGCGACTTGAAGCACCCAGTGCGCACCAGAACCTGTCTTTCCCGATGCGTTTGAGTGCCACGGACAGCTGCCAGTTGCCCATGAGGCCTTTCAGTGTCAGAAGAAGAGATTCCCGACCTCGAGCTGCCCATGGGATCTTTCAAGATGTTTAAAGTGAATTCCCAAGGTCTCCAAGCGAGGAGCCAAGCGGCTGTTGGAGGAGCCGGCTGTGAGCACATCCGGGGCTTCTTCCCCAAACCTCAAAGAGTCGCAAGCTCTCGGTGAAGTCTCGGCGGGGTGGATCAGGGCTCTTCAAAACGCCCTGACAGGAGCTACCAAAGGCGTGCTACCACGTAGATCTGACGGCCCGCGGCTCAGAGCCAAGAAGCACGATCGTTAGGCATAATCGGACCGTATGAAGATGGCAAGTTGGATTATCCTCAGCACTCCAAAGCACTACAAGAGTTCTAGCTGCGAGAGTCGAGCTCTACCTGTTGTAGGGTCAACACCGTTGGCTCCTGCCGGGGCTCCATGTTTGGGCAGGGACTCTCCAAGAGATGAGGCCTGGGCGCTACCCAAGTTGAAGCTCTACGCCGCCGCGGAGCAACTTGCAACCCAGGAACGGGTGTTGGCGATGTTTTTGTGGCTTAGGATTCTAGGGGTTGGGGCTGAGGCTTTGGTTTAGAGTTTCGGGACAGCAAGGCCCATGTCAACCTAGAATTACAGTAGTAAGTACCGATTCGAAGTAATATTGGCCCATGCAGACAGCAGGGGGAGGTTGAGGGCCTCGAAGACCCACGTGGAAAGTAAAGGGAACAAGCCGTCAGACTGACAGAGAAAAGGCAGAGCGTAGTCTTTATGGCTAGAATATGCTAGCATGATGATTGCGGCCCTGCAAGTTGATTCTGCAAGGTCTGGAGCTTCACAGTGTTGGCTTGGGCTCTGTCCTGGGAGGGCGGTGGAAGCCATTGCTAGTGGCGCAAGTGACCCAGCCACTCATCAGGATTTCGAAGCCGCGTCCACGGCCACCGCCTCAGTGCGACATTTTCTGCGGCAGCAGAACCTGGTCCATTTGTACGCTTGCAACGACATAGCCATGAATCCTTCGTGTAGCCATATTGGCTGAAGCAATTCGACCTAGGCGAGGCAACTAAGGTTGTGCTGGATTCTGCTAGCGTCATCCAGCAATGTCGATGTCGGACGAGGAACTCCCCCAGACTGGCATGGACATGGATGGAATGGATGGCATGTCCGACGACGACATGGGGGACATGCCCACAGAGCTGCCGGAGGGCGTGCAGAAAGAGGTGCTGACCCCAGCACCTGATGGAAGCTGGAAGATGCCCCAAAGAGGGGACGAAGTCATCGTGCACTACGTTGGCACCCTGCAGTCGGATGGCAGCGAGTTCGACTCCTCCAGGACTCGCGGCACGCCCTTCGTGTTCACCTTGGGAAAGGGCGAGGTCATCAAGGGCTGGGACTTGGGTGTGGCCACCATGAAGAAGGGTGAGGTTTCCAAGTTCACCCTCGCGCCAGAGTTCGCATACGGCGAGAACGGCTCGCCACCCAAGATCCCGGAGAATGCGACCTTGGTCTTCGAGGTGGAGCTGATTAGCTGGATGTCGAAGTCTGACCTCTTCGGAGACGAGGGTGTGATTCTGACTCGAATCACGGAGGGCTCCGGCTGGAGAACCCCAAAAATCGGCAGCGAGGTGCTCACCTCAGTGAAGGCGGAGGCGGGCGAGGGCACCCTCGAGGAGCACGCCGACCTAGAGTACGTTCTGGGCTCCGAAGGCTCAGCCCTGGGTCCCATTGCGAAGGCCTGCGACAAGGCCCTGCAAAGCATGAAGGTGGGTGAGGAGGTCCAGCTGAAGTGCTCCAAAGACTATGCGTACGGTGACCGCAGCCCAGACGGTGCCACGGTGACCATCAAGCTGTCGCAAATCTACGAGACCAAGGACGTTTCCTTCCAATCCAACAGTTCTGTGATGAAGAAGCAGATCGTCGAGGGTGAAGGCTACGAGATGCCCCAGGACGGCGCGCAGGTGACGCTTGAGGTTGAAGCTGCCACAGACGCTTCCGGCCAGAGCTTGTCCGGCTTCCAGGCCAAGACCTTGGAGTTTACGCTGGGGAACGGAGATGTCTGTGACGCCCTGGAGTGTGCCGTTTCTTCGATGAAGAAGGGGGAGAAAGCCATCATCATCTCTTCATCAAAGGCCCAGGCGGCAGAAGCCCAACTGGGACTGAGCTCTCTTGAAGCGGACATGCCTCGCTTCACGGTGAGTCTGAAGGATTTCGCCAAGAGCAAGGAGATCTGGAGCATGTCCGAGGAGGAGAAGCTTGATTTTGGGGCTCAGCGCAAGGAAGTTGGCACCAGTCTCTTCAAGAGTGGCCGCTTTACCCTGGCGCTGCAGCGATACAAGAAGGTGGCAGACCTCTTCAACTATGTGGACAACTTCAAAGAGGAGAACAAAGCCAAGGCGAAGGAGCTCAAGAAGCTCTGCAAGCTGAACCAAGCAGCCTGCTACTTGAAGTTGGATGATCACTTCGAGGCGAAGGGCGCCTGTGATGCCGTCCTCAAGGAAGACTCTCAGAATGTAAAGGCAATCCTCCGTCGTGCGCAAGCCCAGTTCGGCATGAAGAACTTCTTGGACTGCATACAGGATTGCAAGAGGCTGGTCGAGCTGGACCCGCAGAACCGCGATTGCCGCAGCTTGCTCAAGCGGGCGCACGAAGGTCAAAAGGAGGAAGACCAGAAATCCAAAAAGCTCTTCGCCACCATGTGCAAAGCTCTAGGCAAAGGACCCATTCCTGCACCAGAAAAAGCGAAGCCTCACGAAGAGGACGAAGATTTCGACATGCAGGATACTGCCAAGACCGAAGGGGAAACGGCCGAAGTGCAGTCCGCCCCACAGGGAGGAGCATGAGGGCGACTTCGTGAACCCAAACAGGTGGTCATGGTTTGTCGGGATCTTGAAAGCAAGGCAAAAAGTTTGTGAGCGCACTTTCAGGGCCAGGCAACACACCGAGCAGTGCCAGTGCTTCTGCGCTGGACATGGCCGACTTGTTGCAGATTTTGTTTTGCTAAGGCAACCGATTGCAGGCTTTAGGAGCCACATGTGCCACATGTGTACAGTTCCAAAGACCACAAACCGAGCAGCATATTGTGCGGGCAACAAGTGGCGATTGCTTGTGATGCGGCATGATCAGAATATGGGGATTTGGGTTTAGGCCACTTTGGGTTATACTGTTTGGTTGCGTTGGGTTGGAAATCCCCATACTCTGCTTACGCTGTAAAGCCCTGTGCGAGTGTGAGAGTCGACATCCTTCTTGAAGTTTGTGAAAGTTCTTGCAAGGTCTCGAAGGCCGGAGAGCCCATAACGCAGCGATTCTTGCGGTGGGCCTGGACAGTTACAGGCTCGCTGTGTGCTGCAGATGCATCAAGAACGAGAATGATCGAGCAAGTCCGAATGCAATGATGGCCTGCAGTGCGAGTCATCGCGCAGCAGGCCTAGCGGCCATGGGAAAGAAGGGCGGCGTGCAGGGCCGCCTGGGCATTGAAGCGTTGATTGCAGCCTCTGCTGCATGGGTTGCTCGCACGTCAAAGGCGGAATGCAGGAAGTCGGCTAAGGTGCATTGTATTGCTTTCGGACCATAGCTGATGGATGGTAATAATGTATGCATTCATAATGATCCACAGTTGTTTGTTCTCGGTCCTTGGCGCGTTGTCTTTGCATCTGACGTTGTGCTCTCTCCGCTGCCACATTCTTACAGCTTTACAGCCGAATCGGACACCCCTCCGCAAGCAAGCGGCTTGTCTACAATAGTCGGAGAAGAAGCCGTCTTTCCGCGGACTGGGCTTGCCTGGTAATTACGCACCCACCAACAGCCCGCTCCTTCCTCTGTTTCCGGAAGCGCAGTTTCAACGTGTGGGGCATGCCTCAGAGCCCAGGTACGTGCCAAATTCTTGTCAGGACCTGGATGTTTGGGAGTGGCATCAAGTGAGACTTCCACCTATTTCGGTGGGGGGGCCCGCAGTGAGGACCTTCTTGCCGCTTTCATGGCCGGACAGCCCGAGAATCAGAATGAGGTGGCTTCTGCCTCTCGGTTCCCTTGCAAGGCAGATCCGGATGATCCGGCCTGCCTAATCAGCTCAATCCTGGAAGTCTTGCGCCCACAGCAGCCAAGGTGTGGCAGACTATCCTGATTGGAGACTTGCCAGCAGCTTGCAGGACGGGCCTGTTGCAAGGCTGCCGATCACGCAACGCAACCTCGTCAAAATGCACCCAGCGCCATGCATGAATCTGCCGACAGCAAGGCATAGCTTCGTAGCCGAGGAACCGTGTATATCGTGACAAGTTCTACCCTGATATCATTCAACAAGTTCCTGATGCAGCCAGGGAGGCTGGCACATGGTCGGGTTGTGTGCGTGGACGCGGCAAGCAATTCCGATGCTGGCACGAGGTTCTCCCATGCCGTGCATCTTACAGCAATCCACATGGCTGCTGCCTCAGATGACGCAGTCGCAGCTCCCTCCATCCTGTTCTGCTTCCGACGGTCCTAGGTGGTAACCTTGTGCCTCTCATTGGTCTTCTACAAGGTAGCACCACAGCCAGGGGCTTGGAGGCGTACAAGTACTCCAGCGTTGCGTTTCTTCAATTCTGCAAGCAGGGAAATGTGGCGGTCATGTTCTTCATGCAGCTCGGCCTCCTGACACGCTTCCACGTGTGTAGCAGTGTAGATCAAGAGCTCACGGACCGCTTCCTCCACTATGGCAGCCCACCAGGTCGTGTGCGGTTGGAAGTCAGACGTTTAGCCTGTTGGCAGCATCTGTCGTGGTGGACCACAATCGGAGCTGCTGCTTGACGTGCTGCTGCCAAGGCTGGCATAAGCTGTCCGTTCTCATCGTTGTCATTGCCGGCTGCACAACGCCTCCTGCCTGTTCATGGAAATGGAGCGAGGGAGAGGGAGAGTATCGTTCTAAAGTACGTGGGCAGATGTGGGCAGCATTCTGTTTGTCAGGACCTCTGACGAAGCAGTTGTGGCAGATGGATTCAAAACCCGCACGCATCTGTTGCCCGATGCTGCCGTTGATGACTCATTAGTGCAGCCGACTCCCTCTAAAGTATCGGGGTGAGACGCTTATGAAACTGCAGCAAGAGAGAGAAATGGATAAAGAAAGACAGGAAGTGATGTTGCCCCCGTTGTGGCCGGGATCTAGGGTGCAGATTTCAGGCCCTAGCCCTACCACCCTATCTTGGCAGTCTTGTTTTCAGCCCCCAATGATCTGTTCAAGGTGTGCGCACGGGGAAATCCATTTTGTGTGCCTTGGCTTCCAGGTCGTGAATCATGGCGCGGGCAGTCTGTGCAAAGCGCAGGCGACAGGATAAAACCCTTGCGGATGTGCCAGCGCAACTTAAGGATGGTTGGACTCATCCTCCAGCTCGCATCGCAGCTGACTGAGTGCTCCAAGAACTTGATTGGTGAAGCCGACGCCCGGCTGCTAGCTGTAGGCAGCTCACATGTGGAGTTTCCCTGGCTGCAGGGTTTTATGTTTTGTGGTTTTGGCATCACTCGAGCTTCCACTGCTTCGAGGTAGGACCGGTAGGAGTGAGGTGTGGCTTAGGTTTTAGGTTTGTGGATGTATGCAAGGCCGAATGTCCACGAGAACCACTAACGTTAATTTCAATTGCCACTCTTACCCCAGCTCGGCAGGAATCGGACCCGGCTAGTTGTGTTCTGACAGGGACAATTGGGCCAAGCGGGGCAACTGGCACCCCGCCCTCCCCCGTCATTGGCTCACTTGCCAAGCTGATTACTTGCTACTTTTCTATTAGATTACTCACATATCTGCTTCTTTACTGTTGGTCTTAGTATTGCCACTACTGTTGCTGTTGCTATTGCTCTTACTGCCACTGACATGACACTGCTACTTCTACAATGACTATATGACTATTGCGATTACGGTTTCCATGACCACTACCATTACTTTTTCTGCAGAAGTGGAGACTGTTGTTATTACTAATACCCGCACTACCACTGCCACTGCTAGTACTACTAGTATACTACCCGTACTACTACTACTACTACTACTACTACTACTACTGCTACTACTGCTGCTGCTGCTGCTGCTGCTGCTAGTGCTACTGCTCCTACTATTATTGTTACCACAGTATTACCACTACGACTACAACGGACGACGACTACTACTACTGGCAAGTGGGGCAACTGACAGAAATCAGTTAGCGTTTAAAGTTGCGTCAAGCACGGCGCGAGGGGCAAGCAGGGCAAGTGGCAGCAAATCAGTTTGCGTAACCAGAACCGGCAAGTGGCACAAGGGTGGCAAGTGGCAGAGGCATAGACCAATTAAGGGTTCTCGTTCCCCTTCGCACTGAAATGAAAGGCATGACAATTCCAGTCAGAAAAAGCAGGGCTTGGGGCGACGCCACTGCTGCTAAACACTTCTGTTCCTACAATCACAGGTGATGCATGGCGCCGGTCTGAAGCTGGACGTGCTGACTTTCGTGTTGTTCCAGGCCGGAACTTGCCAGTCAGCTGTGGTAGCTCCCGAGGCCTGGCGTCCATCACAACATACAGACCCCCTTGTTCCTCCTTTTGGGTGGTTGACAACCGAACCGCAATCCTGAATGGGAATCGGAAAGATTTTTTCACCATGAGCCTCCAGACTCTGCAAGGCACCCTTCTCGCTGATTTTCCTGACTGTGGGGGTGGTGGCCACCTGGACGCCGGATGTGCTCGTGGATTTCAAGAGGCAGCATCTTGCCTGCAACTGGGAAGCCCAGTTCGCTTACGCCATTCCCGGAATCGAGGGCTAGTTTAGATGAGGGTTTCGCTTCTGGCTTTTCTTTCGCGGGCAAGCTGTTCCCACTGAAGTATGTGTTCACCTGCCTTTTGAATATTCCACTGCCAACTCATGCCTTTGCCCGACGGCCCAGTTGGCACTGGGTGATGGTAAATGCCCTGATCGCTTTCCTGCTAAATGCCCGGCACTCGGACTCGGTGACCCGAGCTGGGCAGATGCTTTTGACGTGCGCAGTGTGCCCGAGCAAGTAGCAAAACAAGCTTTGGCAGTCGGATGAAATCACGCCTTTATGTTGAAGACCTCTGCACTGACTACACCTGCAGCATGTCCATATAACAGATCAAGAACCATACCCGAGGGACTTCGGCGTGAAGTGCGCTGAGGTTCTCATAGCCGTGACACTGAAGAAGCTTTCCGCTCTGTCCTTTGTCATCATCGGCGTGGTGAAGGATTGCCGGTTCTTCGTTGATCGCACCAAAAGCTTTGCCTTTACCTTTGTGTTAACCTTGTTTGCACTGTTGTTTGTCACACTTTGTTCACCTTCTTTTTACTTTTGTTACACCTTTTTACGCCTGTTTTCGCCTTTTGTAAAGGAAAATGATACAGGGACGCGCGCCGGCCATCCCGCCTGCCTGCCTCGGCTGGTGGGCGGGCGTGGGAGTGCAGGAAAATCCGAGTCACGAGGCCACGTGGCCTGTGCCTGGTCTTTGCCTTTTTTCCCACTTGTTTTACATGTTCTTTGCCTTTTTTGTTTCACCTGGCTCCAGCTTTATTTCACCTTTTACTCACCTTTATTTTGCCTTGTTTTCAAAATTTCAAACCGGCTGATTGGGCCTCCTACATCGCAACGGTCCTTTTCATCCCAGTAACAAGAACAGGAAGAAACCTGGCACCAATCTACCCAGCCTGCTGTGTCTGCGTTAGCTGTCACCTGGAGGACATGGTCATTGTGTCTTCTTCTGCCCTGGTCTTCGGCGAACCTCGTTTGCATCCACGTAAAGTGGTACGGATTTCGCGGGGCTTCTCAGCGACAGGCTCGGTAGAGAGTCGGATGTAGGCACTGGTGTCAGGCATCTGCTGTTGTGGACTAGAAGTGCCCCTGCAACACACAAATTGCATCACGGTGCGCTTTCAAACTACCTACGGACCTGCTTGTACTGCAAACTTCTGGCTGGTCTGGGGGCTCCTCAACACACTGACAAAGCCATAGCTGCAGTGCGACCTTGCGAATCCAGAAGCCCATCTCCAGTTGCAAGCTTCACGAGAAATCAGTTACGACGCTGCGTTGCATCATGTTGGGTGCCCTTACCGTTTGAACCCGAGCTTGATCTGAGGACCCGGTTTCTCAGACGCAGCAGGCGTAGCAACCTTGCACCAAGCAGCCGTGTATTGAACGTAGGTAGACGCATGGGTTCGGACTGCATGGGGTTGTGTGTTGACAGCGGCGTCGCCCCTGTGAGGCTTCTAGTTGCGTGGAGCTTCCACACACATCTTGTCGGGTGGTTGAACGGTGGTTGCACCGCAGGAGTCGGCGGTGGTTGGGTCTAAAGGGTGGGGAGCAGGTGGGCTTCATGGTGACGATTGTGGGCGTGCTGCTGTGGAGCCGGCTGAAGATGAAAGAGCAGGCCGGGCAATCGGAGCGTTGTCCAGGTTAATCGCTTGGGGAGGCATTGTTGCAGTCCGTGTTTTTGCGCAAACGAACGAAACATGAAAGCCACAAGCAATTGGGTAGCGTCCCAGGCCTGCGTGTCGTGCAGGTGTGGCATGTAGAGTGTAGACGTTTGAGACGGTCCTCTCGCATGTCCTGACCGAAACTTCCCAGCTGGAACCAGGCGGCGCGGATGGACCAGGAACGTCTTCCGTTTGCAAAAACGGCCAAAACAAAGGCGCCTTTCTGTGATCCGGGGCTGAAGAGCTTCCTGGCTTAAGTGCATTTCGGGGGTGCCGCAATGCGGAGCTTCAGCCTGAACTCCCTCTTGCCGTGCACTGGCCCGCTGCCGACAGGTCCCAAGACCAAGCCTTTGAGAGCTGCAGGGTAGAAGCGCCTTTGCCAGAACCACCTTCGAAGTTCTCTTAAAGTTAGAAGACTAGCACGATGCAGGATTCATGGGAGGTTCTGGCATATGGGCATGAACTCGATGTTTCACTTCAGGCTATCGGAGCACCTACGACAACAGTTGGATCTTGAACGGCTTAGCATGAGAGCCGGATCCATTCATGACTTCATAACCCGATGATAGCTGCGCACTGCGGGCATGCAATCAGCGGCTTGGCGACGTGCAAGGGGTCTTCTGCAGCTATCCGCTAGGACCACATGCAATCACATGCACTTCTGCACGAGCGGGCCCCTGCAGAGCAGCGACAGCATCCCACCCTGTAGACAAACGGTTTCCAAGGCCGAATCTGGAGTGGGCTTGGAAAGCCGCACTCTTCGCAGTTCCTGTGCCATTCTCCGGTGGCAAGAGGGTACGTTCCTCAGAATGATTGGTGCGATGGGGTGTTGCCCACCTTTCTCTCTGTGCGTGTGTCTCTGTGTGTGTGTGTGTGTCTTGCCAGGCTTGTCTTAGTGGTAGACAGGAGGCCCGCTGTATCAAGTCATGAGTCTGTAGCAATCTGTATGTAGACTATGGAGCTTTTTTAGTTGCATCCTGCCACTTGCTGCTCCTTCTGGCTTTGCGCCGTGCCTACGAGCTTACAGCACTTAAGGTCGTTCCACTTGGTTCTTGATGCTGCAGCCATTTATCTCCTAAGGAGATCTTGGCTCGCGCAGAACCGTTGGAATGAGATGTCTGGGAGAAAAATGAATGACTGACTGGCTAACCACGAGAGACAGAGAGCGATAAGCCGTTTAGCCGAATCTTCTTGCACTCCATTGCTACTCGAAGCAAAAGTACCCAACCCCCAGACCACCGTGGGATGCAAAGTACAAAGCCTTTTGGTATCAGGATCATGATCACTACACGAAACCCTAAAGCCCTTAAACCCTAAACTGCCCTAAGCCCTAAACTTCTTGTCCGAGTTGTGAGAGCGTAAAACCCTACACTTCTGTCCCACAAGCTCGTAGCCTCATTCTGTGCCAGTGAGCTCTGGCCATGGGCTGAGCCTTTCCGAGCCCAGCTATGACATCCGGCACCGTGTTTCCGAGTCTTCGAGGCCGGGCCAGGACGAGCTTTAGATGATGGGCTGAGGGTAGTAGGGTTTAGGTTTAGGGTAGGGCCTGGGTTCCAAAAATACAGAAGGTATTGGGATTTGGGGTTTAGGGTTAAGGCTTTAAGGCTTTTAGGACCTATGGGGAACGGAGCTCCTTGGGCCCTTTTTGCCAAACTTTCGAGGCCTCCATGGACGGCGAGAGGCGAGAGGGGAATCAGCTCGGAGGTTGGCGGGCTGCAGTTTAGGGTTTAAGGGGTTTAGGGTTTGTGTAGGGTGTCTTGGAGTGCCAATCAACACTAGTTGCGAGTTACGCAAGCCGGTACATGTATCGAAAGATGCGCGATGGACACAGGGAGAAGGGTGAAGGATAGCACCGCACATCGCCCGATGTTGCTGACTATGCAGACCACAAGGCCCCACCCACCCTCACCATCGAACATGTTCGTCAGGGTTCGCATGCCGAAGCTGCCGAAGGGGTCGCCAAGGGCCCTTTGGGAAGAGGCTGAGCGGTGCCAAGTCTCGACACAGCGACGAGATGAGCGGCCAGCAGTGCATATCTATGTGTGCGGCTGTCGTCTGATGTCCATCCTGCTTACCGTGAATCTATCTATCTCTCTGTCTATTTGTCTATCTATCTACTTGTATTTATTGGAATATGTTTACATTAACCCAGCAGGTGCGCACTGCAAGCAAGTGCAGCTCTCTGCGCAGTGGACGTCTGGGCAGTCGGCAAAATCCTGAGCTGGCGAAGATGAGGCCGTTTGTTGCTGTTGCTGTTGCTGTTGCTGCTGTTGCTGTTTGCTGTGGCTGCTGCTGCTGCCGCTGCTGCCTCTGCCGCTGCTGTTGCTGTCGCTGTAGCTGATGCTGATGCTTTGCTGCTGCTGCTGGTGTTGTTGATGCTGTTGTTGTTGTTGTTGTTGGTGGTGGTGGTGGTGGTGTCGGTGACGTTGGTGTGGTTGGTTGATTGGTTGGTTGGTGTGGTTGTCAGTGGTTGTTGTCGTGGTGCTAGGGGTAGGGTAGGGGTAGTGGCGGCAGTAGTAGCAGTAGAGCAGTCAGTCGCAGTAGCAGGCAGCGCTAGCCGCAGCTGTAGCCAGTAGAAGTAGCAGTATCAGATGTAGTAGTAGTCGTCGTCGTCGTAGTAGTCGTAGTCGTAGTAGTCGTAGTCGTAGTAGTGGCAGTAGTGGTAGTAGTGGTTGTAGTTGCAGTTGAAGTAGTTGTTGTTGTAGAAGGAGGAGGAGGTGGAGAGGAGGAGGAAGCAGACGCAGAAGTAGTAGTAGCATCAGCATCGATAGTGGTAGCAGTAGTCGAGGTGCTTGTTGAGATTCTAGTTCTCCTTCTTAATACCTCTACTACGGTTAGCTCCGAGCTTTTGAAGTTTCGTGGACATCTCGATATCTTAGACCACAGCAGCATGCTCGGACGGGGGTCCGCGGTATGCCTACCTTGGTCAGGACAAGTGCCTCTGAGGGCCAGTTCCCTTCGCTTCCGAAGATTTCAGCATCCGTCCGAGCAACTGGGCTTGCAGAAAAAGCAGAAAAAAGCTGTTGAATAAAAGTAGTCCTTCATATTTTGCTGCGAGACTGACCGGGTTTACAGCAGCGGCACGTCTCCACGTCGTCTTGACCGGATTTAGAGCAGGTCCAGGAAACACGGAAACACTGACATCCAGACCCAACAAGAAAAACACCAAACCGACACGATGCGTCAACGACCGAGCAACTCCCGCCTGTCAGCCTCTTCTCTGTATTAATCAAAGTCGCTTCCTTGCAATCTGTCGACAAGACATGTCTATTCGGATGGAAATGAGGCCGTGATCTTGTTTGAAGTCACTTTCTGATTCTGTCAATGTGACTCAGCCATCATACGCTTGTGGGCTTCAGCTGGTCGCCCTGCTTCATCGCTGTGCTGTGGAATGTCGCGTGGACTATGGACAGCAGGTGAGTGAACCATCTGCAGCCCAGTCACATGGAATGAGGTCAGGTGCCGCGCAGGCCAGGGCACTCGCGTTCGAGCAAGCAAGCAAGCAAGCAAGCAAAAGAAACGTTTGTCACCCGTCGTGGCAAGTGCACATCACCAATTCTCAGGCAGCCTCCTTCGAGGAGATCTTCAAAGACGCGCAGCGGCGCGCGCAGCATCGACGAGTGCAGGCGAATTTCGCCGTCTATTTCTGTGGGTCGAGGGACGGCAATTTCGGATAAGGGGGGGTGGCAGGCCTCACAATACATCTTTACTGCAAGGTGGCTGGGGACTGAACGTGTGGACGAGTCCCAGTTGATCAAGTTTGGGAGCTGCAGAGTTGTGGTATGTTGCGGTGCTGAGTTCGGATGATGTTCGGACCAGGGGCACGCTTCGTGCAGTTGATATTATGCCCTTGATATGCATAGTGCATGTATCTCTTGGTGGATCCAGGCAGTCACCATCGGAGCTAGAGGCGGGGTTCTAGGGATGTGTCGTTAAATCGTCGACCTCCCGGAATTCACCGCTGCTCCAAAGCAGAGTGGTCCGAGCCGAAAGGAGCGGAAGAAGAGCGAGGAGACCGGTGAGCCGCAGCCTCGGATGATCTCGGATGCCTCGGGGTTCCGGGTGCCTTGGGGGTTGGCCTTCGATCCTAAAGAAAAGATTCTTGCATGCATGCTTGTCAAGAGAAATGCTTCTGCTGAAACTGATAAACTACTATAGTACTATTAACATAGATATGTTCGCTCATGATTGTGATCGGTCTCTACAATAAGTTAGCCTGCTGCAGAGCAGCGCATCACGGATGCGTGTACCTTCTCGCATTTCTGGTGGCTCTAGTGGGTTGCGCTCCCTTTCAGGGGCTAGCGACTTCAAATGATCCTCCCGGGAGAACAACGAGCTTGCTCACCCGAGGGGCCTTCCTTCCGTCAGCACTGCCAACATCAACAAGAACACCATCTCGGGCTTCCATGCCTTCACGGCGCTGCTAAGGAGCCGTGGGAAGACAGAACACGGTGCTAGGCGACATACTCAGCTTGCTGTCTAGACACGGTGGCGACTTAGCACACGTCTGCCATTATGCATGCGACATGCACATACATGCGCATGCAGGAATCTAAATGCTCGCTCTGCTGGCGATGCTTGGCTGCTTTACCACATGTTTGTGTACTGTCTCAGCTTCCTATCTCGCAACAGAGGCCGCAAGGCTCAATCCGAAATCCAAGGACTTTGCGAACATTGATCTTGAGGCAGAGCGGGCAGCCGAAGCGGAGGCGCCGGAACGAAAGTTGGTTTGAGTAATAAATAGCAGTGTTGTCAATGTTGATGACAATCAGGGTCACACGAGGCAATGTAATTACTTGAATTCATACTACTTCCGAAAAGCCCTCAGGTAACCGATCTCACGGATTTGCGCAGAACGACGCAGTCGCTATTGATTACACGCGCGGCATGCAAGTAAAGATTCAAATTCTGGCTAGAGTGGCTTGTTCGCTGCTGCGATTCTTGTAATGAAAGCATTCACCGGCTGCCCGAGTCCAGCCGTTTGAAACTCGTGCCTCAGAGCAAGCCAGCGTAATGCAGGTCTTGACCTAGCGGGCCCTCCTTGCCCGACCCAGTGAGAGTCTCCCCACGTCCGGTGCAATTGCCCTGGAAGGAGAAGCGCAAAGCGGAGGAGGCAGAGATTCAACGCATGACAAGGCCTGACCGCAGCAGGACTCTGCCGGCGCAGAGCCTCGGGGCTTGCCCCATTTCAGACCAACTCTAGCCAGAAGTCAGGCTGCTATAGACAGGCCACGGAAGAAAAGCGATGTCGTGGCACGAATGTGTTATTGCTGTCATTGTTGCAGTTACTATGGGTATGTGTGGGTCGTGCTTTACAGGAGCCCGAACTAAGATACAATGTAGGCAGGGCCTGAGAAGGTGTAGAGATCATTTTGAATTTGTTTGGCATTTGTCGGAGGTGTTGTGGGAAGACCTCACAGGGGCCCCTTGTTTGTCCCGACCAAGACTGTTGACTTCCTGAATGGCAGGCTCACGATGCTGGCTTCCAGCGCTTTGACCGAGCAAACAGACCAGGACTTGTAGCACTTCGTCAATGTCATGCCGTCCCACTTGCCCGTTGCTTGCAAGACAGGTGCTCAAGTCAAGCTTGCACACGCCGCACTTGCGTGATACGAGCCTGCAGAATTGTAAACACGTTCAATCCCGAGAGCCTTCCTGAAGTTGCGCCTGCATGCGGGGCAGTGCACAGGACATGACGGTGCCCGCGCGAAGGCTCGTGTTTGCTGCTACATGTGGGATAGCCCCAACACACTAAGTCACTGTGCCCGACACGCATGCAAGAGACTTCATGTCCACAGAGGTAGGAAGTAGGAAGCCCAATGGACATTTGGTGTGTACTGACGCAGAATCAGAACATGTAGCAGCTTGCGATTGAACTGCTCACATTAGCTGCACCTCGGATCCAAGAAATGCATTGTAGACCTTGTAAAATTCATGTCAAAATACTGTATTCTCCCATGTAACCGTAATCCCACATACCCTGAACAAGTGTGCGACACAGGGGTTCTGTCGGCGCGGGCGTGGAGGAAAATGGGGCGCTAAGCGACATGCAGAAGCGGAGCCTCAGCTAAAGGCTAAGAGTTGCGATCGAACTCATACAGAAGCTTCATGACGGGACTCGAGGGCCGAGGGTGTTGCTCAGATAGTTGCCTGAGTATTGCTACCAGTAGCGCTTTGGTTCAATTGTGGGACACATGTGAAGGAACTCTGAAACAGCACTAAGTTTGTCACATCAGCTGCTCCAGCTGGTTTTTCTTTCGCCCTTGGGCCCTTGCATGACACATATTACCTTGCCAGCACCTAGAATGCGGGAGGTGCGTGATTTCCGTTGTGGTGCTGCTTTTTGTCGTGGGTCTGGGGATGCGGGCCATGTCCACTGTGGCTAGAGGTCGACGCTAGTCGTGCAGAAGACAGTTTGCCTCAGTTGCCTGGCCTGGAGTGTCCCAGTTGTTGAAGTTGAAAGCCCAGACCTGAAACGGAGACCAGGAAGCGGGAGGATGCAGCGATCCAGCGAGCCCGGATGGAGCGTGCCCATGGAGCTGCACAGTCGGGTTTGGTTTGAACTGGATTCTTGATTCGCTGTGCGATCGGCTGCATAATCACCGTGCATGTATGTAGTGCCGTGGAGCTTTGGGCTTGAAAGCGAGTCTACTGGGTAATCCGTAATCGTTCTTGCATGTTCATCACCGAGTGTGCGATAAGCCTTGCTTGTCATGGGCTGGCCCATCAGGGTCTACAGTGGTCTCGTGTGTTTTGCTCAAAATATTCGGTTTGAGGGTAAGGGTGGTTGTGAAGGCTGATCAGGATTATGGCAAATCGCTGATCCAAGAGCTTGTAGTTGTAGAGGCCCAGCGCCAGAGCGATAATCGCAACACATAGCCGTGGTAGTGGTTGGCATGATCTTCTGCTCGGCAGTTCTTTGATGTCGGTGATGTCCAGGAAAGAGATCCGGAAGCTGCTTGGCGGCATCCCTTAGCAACTTTGACAAGCAGAACTAAGCCGTAGGCTTTTTTAAAGTGTGCCGGAGCTGCGGCTGCTACTGCACGCCTCGCAAGCCTTGCCACAGACTGCAGATCCGGTCAACACAAGACCTGCCGACCCCCCTCCCAACGAAACTATCGCTGGCTGTTGGAGGACGTCGCAGAGCTTCTTCGACCCCCGGACTTTGGGCTGGTAGTCGAGCGCTTCCATTGGGTCACTGGCCTCAAGAGCTGGGACTCAGGGCCGGTGTGTGGCTGCAAAGCATTCGGATCTCCTGGCTTCGCTGGGGGAAGAGTTGAGGCTGGTGACTGTTGGTCGACTTCCACTTAAGTTATTCTGAAGTTGTGTAAGTCATTGACATTGAATTTGAGAATTGAGCAGCTGACGATGAAATCTCTGCCTGAGGATGGCCCTGGCCTTTCAGAAAAAGAGCTTCGCAAAGCAGAGGCCGATCGAAATGCAATATCCATCCGGCGCCGGGATTCTAGCTCGAATCAGCTCGAATGACATTTCAGACTACATTGGCCACAGTCACACCCACCACAGTTCTGACTGATGATGGCGGATACTTGCAGGAGCAGTTCCACGTCTACAAGACCGAGGGGCAAGGCGATGTGCATTTGGACCGCATCCCGGCAAGAACCCGGCCATGGCTATGGCCCGTTGCCTTTCAGTGCTTACACCGAAGTCCCTCGCTGGGAAAGGCGCGAAGGAAGGTGAACCACTTGCACTTGTGCACCATGCCACTATGCCATGCGTCGCCGGGCTTCATGTCACGCCCAGTTGTGCGGACGTGTTTGGAAGAAAGCCTCGAGGACTTTAGAGGTTGCATGTTCCTGTTGACCTATACCTTCTATGATCCGGCATGTCAGAGTGTGTGTTTCTATTCCTACTTAGCCCGAATGGTTTTTCTTGAAACCTGCTCAGCTACGGGAATTCCAGCGACTCCGAGGCCTCTACGAGCTTCTCACGTCCTTGTTCTACATGACGATTGATGAGGTGCCCTGGGAAATCATGGCATCCTCATCCGGGGTGCCCGGGTGTTTAAGACCGGCTCGATGAAGCAGGACTGCCTTTAATAGGTTTTAGGATTTTTAGGAGTATTAGGTTCAGGGTGTGAAAGGTCACCTTCTTCTTTTCGCTTGCCCGGCACGCCAGAGCCGCCGCTTGCATTTGTAGCCACAGGCCGTGATCAAGAAGCTGGTCAAGGAAATCACACCCTTCAGTGCCTTAGAGAAGCAGGACTGCCCCATCACAGCTGCATAGAACATCAGATGCGACAGCAGTTGGAACTGCAGAACTAGTTGACGGTTTGCTTTTTGGTGCATGAGGAGCTGTACGACTTCCTCCGTGGCCTGGAACGCAGACACGAGTGAAGCCCTCCCCGGTCGAAGGTGCCCATGGTCCATCCCTCGACATGCTCGTGACACTAAGCCAAGGCAAGTACACCCAGTACGAGCGAGACTACATCAGGACGCGTACGCCGATGGAGGGTCCTTGGTTAGTTCTGTAGCGGCATGTCCAGAGCGCTCCTCGGCAATCCGAACAAGCAATGCCAGCCAATTACCACAGCCCTGGTTCCTAAACGCCTCTTTTCAAGTGTCCGTCTTCGGCAGGAAGGTTTTCCAAGAATTTGACGAAGACGGCTCCGGCGAGTTGAACACCAACGAGGTCCAGGCGGTGTTGGAGGCCGTACTGCCTTGCCAGCCGCTAATTTCCGTTCCAGGATGTTCACATTGTCAAAAGTGCTGTGGTCTTTCGGGAAAAGCTGAAGTTCGACTTCAAGTACAGTATGCAGGTATATGCAGCACTGCAGTTGAAAGCCCGAAGCCCTAAACAGAGGCTGCTGCGTCAAACAAGCCGAGTGCGACACATTACACGTATCACCACTGCTGTTGATGCGCTCACGTGTGCATCTAGAATCTAGGTTCTAGGTGCCCGTTTGCTGGCGGACCTCCAGGCCATCGGATGCTCACCATTTCGTGGGACACTCCAAAGGCGGGTGCTGGTTGTTCGAGGATTGAAATTATTGCAGAACGATTTTCCATCTAGTTCAGAGGTGGCATTGTTCAGAATACTCTGCCAGCCCTGTAGCTGCTGGAAGGCTCATCGAGGCAGTTGACGTGGACCATTCGCAAACCCTGGACTTCAACGAGTTCTTGTCGCTGCTGCTAGTTTATCGCCAGACCGATGGATTCAGCCACAAGGAGCCATTGCAGTCTTGGCAATGTTGGCCAGATAGGGCTAATGCGAGATGAGCACTTTGCATCTGCATGTGGACGGATGTCTTGGTCTGTACTTCCTAGGTGGGCTTGTGCATGCGCGAGAGTACTTACTGGCTTCTTGTAAGAAAGCCAAGTCGCATGAGAAGCATTATTGAAGTCCGGGATAGGCTAGGCTAGATTCGGCTACTAGATGCCATGCCAATACCTGCAGGTAGTCCCTGG